AGATACGTATATATTTGTTAAAAAAATGCCACTACAGAGAGAATTGAATCTGAGCCCAAAAAGGCATCGTCTTAGAAAGTCACACATCCTTGCCCCTGTGCTACTGATGCTGTATGGGTTTTGAAAAGTAAATATATAAACTAAATTTTGAGATTGGGTGGCAGGCGAGAACGTCAGACTTATTGGTGGCAGGCGAAAGCTTCAGTTTTAGGGGTCGCAAGTGAGAGTCGCAGTCATAGATGTCGCAAGACCCGGTCGCAGGCATAGTGGTCGCAGTCTTAACAAATCTCAACTTTATCAGTTATAACACACACAACTGGCAAAATTAAATTAGTTTGCCACCACTTGCCAGTTGCCAGGTGCCACACCACTTGCCAGTTGCTATGTATTTACTGTTGGCCTTTGTTGCCAGTTGCCACTGTGCCAGCCCAGTTCGTTCTCAGTTCTGGTGTTTACGACATATCGTCTAAAAAAATGTTGTAAACGACCGTCTCGACGTGTCGTCTGAAACATGTCGTTTGTCGCATAGGTATACCATCTTGTCAACTTGTCATACATACAGTCGGAAATTTTCAGAATTTCATGCTCACCCATTGGTATTTGATGTAAGGTCCCGTGATGATTGGCAAAATTTTCAGATATATTGATGATTCAGAGGGTTTAATTTCTTCAATTTGAATTGGACATAGTAAAAAGGTAGTAACAACCGTCGCGACGCGTCGCCAAAGGCAAGAGACATGTCGTTTATAACCAGATCAGCAGTTCTCCGCTTTGCCTTCTGCAGCTGCTCTGGCTATATTGGAAGCACTTTTTTAAATTTCAAAAAACCCCCCGAACTATGTATGACTTGTATCAGTTTGCATATGTATTTATGTACATACAAATTGTTTTTATATTTCTACATAAAATACATATATATAGTGACTGTGATAGTTAAAAATAAATTCAGAGAAAGAACTGATACTTACAGACTTCCACACTTCCAGTGATATGAGATATCACTGATTTGAGATATCTGTATCCGCTCTCTCTACTCTAGTTTTTTGACTGTGATAGATAGATGTTTAAATCTGGAACTATAGCTCTGAATGTTACTCTTCAAATGTTGGTTGGACAGAATAGATGCCTTTTGTTTTAAACCAAAAACAAAGGAAACAAAAAAAACAAATCACACTAAGTCCTAAGACCTATAGTCTTATAGCCTTCACGATTCGTCATGTTTTTCAATTTTTGTTCTATTTAGGTTTTAGGTTTTACTTTTTACACACGCTCTGTCTCTCAGCTCTCTCTTCTCGTTGAGCTGTGTATTGTATTTGAGCGTGTAAATATGTACAGTGTTAACTGCGCAGTGATGACTGATATGTGATGAATGATGATAGATGAGTGTGACAGTGTGTGGGTGAGTCATGAGACTGAGAGGGTGAGTAAAATAACTGATGAGCCACTGATGAGTGACGTACTGAGAGTACATGACCCAGTCACTGATAACTTGATATGTGACGTGCTTCACTTTCACATATGTATTACATATCCTCTTTTATTTATTATTATTAAGTATTTACAAGTGTATTTTTTTTAACTTTTAAACTGAACTCGGAGTCTAGGACAGATTGTATTCATCTGACTTCTTCTCCTCTCACTTATGTGTAGAGGGATTTAATAAGTACCTCATTTACAATAACGGTTATGCGCTATTCAAGCATACAGTCCCACATGCATAGTATTCTGCAACTATTATGCACTGTGAGCACCCGATGTATTAATTTCTCGAGAACAAGTCGTTTACGAAAAAGGTATAAAGTTTAACATTAATTTATGGAGATATAGTGCATCAAGATTGGGTTGTGAGTCCAGCTTAAAAGGAAAGATAA